GTTTGTAATATACTTGCATCCTTTTGTATTTTTTTTTTTTTTTAACTTCGGTTCTGAATTGCTATCTTCCTTCATTACTTGCGTTCGGGATATGTGAGGCAACTTATTTTCGTTTTTTCCTTGTACACTTGCTTTCTTGTTTACATTGCGAACGTTCCTTCTTACTTGCTTTCTTTCCTCCTTACTTTCTTACTTGCGGACTTAGTTTTTTTAGTCATGGCTTAATTACGTGCTTCCTTAATTACATACCTCTAAATTTTCTGGTAATTTATTTCTTTTTTCTTTGGTTACATGCATTTGTTTGTTTCCTTCATTGGTTATCTGCTCTCTTTTTCTTCCTTGATTTCTTCTTCCTTGGAAAATTGTGTGCTTTATTACTTGTTCCATGATTCGTAAAATACTTGCTTCCTTTTGTTTTTTTTTTTTTTTTAATTCGGTTCCTTGGTAAATTGTTTTTTAATATACTATCTTCCTTCATTATTTACTTATTTTCGTTTTTCCTTGGTTCCGTGTGTGTGTGTGTGCTTGCTTCATTCCTTGGTTCCATGTGTGTGTGTGTGTGCTTGCTTCATTCCTTGGTTCAATGTGTGTGTGTGTGTGCTTGCTTCATTCCTATGTTTGCTTTTCTTGTTCTCTTCCTTTATTCCTCGTTCCTAGCTGAGGTTGTCTGCTTAGCTTCCTTGATTCCTTGATCTGTTGATTATCTTCTTACTTGTTTCCTTATTTTCTTTCTTGGTTCCTTGCTTAATTTTCTTACTTTCTTTATGGTTGTTTTCTAGTCTTCCCTTGATTTCAGTATTTGTGTGTAGATAGCGTGGTGTGTATAATTCCCATAAAAATTCTACTTTAGTCTGATTTATATTAACTAACTGCTATGGTTTCATGTTTGAGTTGGACATGATATTAGGTATGAACCTTTAAGCGTGTGGACTCAAAAGAGCCCTATAGGGACACCAATTTGTGTCAAAGAACACTTTTCAGCTAAGTATTTATCTGATCAAATCTGGTTTTACTATATGTATGTTTCTTATTCTTTTACTTGGGCTAATGACCTCATATTGGACTATTTAATAGAGTTGAACCTAAGAAGTATTGAGCAGTGTATGATCGCTTCTGTCTCTCTATGCTTTTGTTACATTTTCTCTACATATCTGATAAATTATATTGTATGTGGTGATAAGTGGTAGAGCTTAATAAGCCAAGACAGAACAGAGGAGATTTCTGGCTAAAAAGATAAGCAAATCATTCATTACTTAGTTAGTTTTGCTTTATCGGGTTAACCAGAATATGCTTTCGTTAATCACCTAATCCTTGTCTTTTAACTATCATGTAGGCAGATGGAGCAAATGGAATTGAAGTTCTTAGCGTTGAGTTTAAGAGAGAGTTACAAGGATGGAGCAGTGGACCCAATACAAGACTACTTTGAATTGGCTGGTACGTGTACTTGGAGGTAGATATTATTAGACTTTAATACATTTGAGAATATATTGCCCAAAATTGCAATGATGGACACATACTGACCCTAAAATTTAGATAATCTTTAGGCATATCTTGCATTATGTATTGCTCTTTCTTTTAGTTTTCATTTACTCTGTTGGCTTCTCGAGGACTACCGTGGCTTTGAATCTGACTTAGAGAAACAGGAATAGCTCATGCTCAGGAAAGATAAGTAATTTCGTCACCATAAGAAATAAAACAGAATTTAGTCTAGTTTGAGATACTGATTATTGCTCTTTCTTTCAGGTTTATTATACTATGTTGCCTTCTGGAGTATGGTCATATGGAATTTACAATCACCTTAAGGACTAGCCTGGCTTTGAATCTGACTTGGAGAAAAAGAATAGCTTTCAAGCTCAGAAAAGATAAGGTATATCGTCACCAGCTTAATTAGTCAGAAAAGGTTCTAGAGACGTATTGCAGCTTAATTAGTTTATATTCCTTTTTGAGGTTTTGATTCTTCAAAATCTCTGTTTATTTATTTAAATCTACTTTACTTACGCTATAATGAGAAACAGAAGTATATTGTTCTCAAGGGTAGCATCTTTTCTATGTTGAGTTTGGGTTCTAAGTTTTACTAAGAGTATGTCTTAATAGCTGAGTCTGGGTTCTAAGTTTCACTAAGAGTATGTCTCAATATTTGGGTTCTTTGCAGGATGCTCATAACACTAAGAAAAAGACTCATGGTTAAAAGTTGGACAGGTCTCACATCATTCCCGTAAACATTTTAATCTGTTTGATCGCTTGATTAATGTGATGGAGTGGAAGCCTCCTCAAACCAAGCCGTATGTTTCTGAGGTATGTGTTCTTTTCATCACATTAGCGACATCAGTGTTTCTAATTGACATATACCTTGAAAACTTGTCTTGTAATAACCTCTACTGTGTATGTGCAATCAATTCCGATCCTTATTTGATGCATGGTAACGAATTATTTTAATTGCATAACCTCTTGTTGGATGTACATTTGTGTATTCCAATGCAGCCTTTAGAGGTGCTTATTCTCGTTACTTATTTCTCGTTTTCAGGAGATTTTGCAAAAGTAGCTTACTGATGAAAATGCCAGGATCAGATAGTCTTTCGTTCTGGCCTAATACAATTGTTGTATGGAATGTGTTCTAGCCACACCTGCTAGACAGAAGAAGCCTGAATCTGTCATAAACATCTTGGAAGTCACTTACATATTCGTTTCTTGAGTGTTTAGAGCAATGTGATATGTAAATGTTACCATCAGCTGAACTAACGATGCTCTACTCTTATGCAGGTATTGGACAAAATTTATTTGCAGGGTCTCCTTTAGGCAATTCAAAAGCACCGTGGAGCTGTTTGGGGTGGTGGTTATATTTTTTTTCTTGATTCGGCTGAAGGTCAAACGATTTGACTGTTCTCTAGGTAGTAACTTGCTAGGATTGGTGAAACCATAGCTAGCTACTTAGAACGTATTTCAACTTTCTAACTTGAATGATGTGCACCGAACCTCTGTTCCACTAACACTGTATTTTGCTGTTGATATGGCAGCTTAACTTTGGTAACCTTACTGCAACGCTTCATGAGGAGTCGGCTTTGCTGAGCCCAGTTGGAAGTACTCTCTCTGGTCACCACGTCATCATGTCAAGCTGTGAAACCTCATCATTGGAGTTAAACAAACTTGTGTCAAAGCACACTTTTCCAGCTAAGTATCTTATCTGATCAAAT